TATCACGCCGCGAATTGCTGTGAATCTGACTCGAGACTCAAACGGGATTTACACCTTAACCTATCTCCGATCTAGTCCAGTTTCGAAGAGTATCATTTCGAATGGCACCGTAACATCCACCTGATGAGATCCTTAAGCAAGGTCGAAAGCGCTCGTGGTAGCTTAAGGAGCGAATAACTCTAACAACAATCAAGTTGTAGCGAGAAGTCTAAGTATCTAAACGTGGTAAAACCAAACAGCGCAATTATATTGTATAATGAAATTTATTGCTAGTGGATCAGAGACCATAAGATCTTCCCATTGTTCCTCGACAATTTGTAGTGAAGTTAGTAGATCATCCAACTCGTCAGTAAATAATGTTGATTTCTTTTGCAAAATTAAATCTAAACAAAGATAAAAAAGAAGAGATTACACAAACAAATAGTTTTGTAGAATGCTGAAATTTAATATTGGTGGAAATATTTTTCACTGTATTGAACAAAATCCTGAAAGAAATTTCTTTAACATATGTATTATTCGTTCCAAAATAGAATGATTTTGATTATTTTTTTCCCCTCTTGGTCCACTAGCAATAAATTTCATCAGCAATTTAATAATATTGACTAGTAAACAAGATTTTCCATTCACATTCTCCTCGCCAGGTCATGTCTACACATATATTGGATATCCTTCATCATTTCATGCCACTCTAGCCCAATTAATCGATGATATATACAACAGCTTCTTGACTGCTCATATAAGTATGGATCATTTACAAATGAGTATGCGACATATACCTATTCATTTAAAAACTGTACTAAACTTAATCATATCAGGATCTTCTGATAAAGAACATGAAGAAAAACGAAAAGTAGAAAGTAGAAGTTCTTTTGAACAATGGAAAAGTGAAACAGAAATGTGAAATAAAGCTATGGATTAACAAATGTCTATTTCATATGAACACAGATATATATATTCAAGGCACGTTTGAAAGCTTGTAGAGCTTAGGAAGCGATGACGTGTCTCGAGAGCACATTCTAATGTAATATAGTTTTTGATAGAAAGGATATAGGTTTTTCTTCTAAACTTTCTCGCAAAGACAACGATTCGAAGTTCGAGCAGAAGTCAGAATAATCAGCCAAAGAGAAAGAGAGAGAGTAATACAGTAATTACACTCAGTAATAACTTTATTTTCACAGGGAATACACCCCGTAATAATTTTATGAAAAAACATTAATCTAAAGTATTTACGTCGGACGGCCCATAACAGGCAAGATGCATGTTTTGTAAATATGTAACCGTGATGATTTTTTTTGAAAAATTCGGTCTGTAACGATCTTAATCGGGATGTGTTTGAGAATCTTGAAAAGATTTGAAACTTGTCTGTAATTAGCAGAATCTTTGCTAACAAAGAAAATTATTCTGATTACGAAATGAATCAAAGATTCGACAAAAAAATGTAAATATGACAACTTTACGCTTATTCATACTTATTGTATTACTACAATGTAGAAGACTTCTGCTAAAATTACAGATGGCGCATGCTACAAAATAACTCTGACGCATGCTAAAAGGTTCTATTCGTAACTCCTAGCATTGTCTACATCTTTTAGTAGTTTTTTCTAAGCGATATTTGCATTTCAAACCTGATGAAAGGTACAAACCGAATAATTTGATATTTTTACTTTACTTTCTAGACCAGACAGTTTGGTTCTTGTGCTAAATGATAGAGAATTTGTGTAGATTTTATTGATATGTTCTTTTTTAAATGAGAAAGCACCGTTCTTTTGTAGCATTAAAAGTATTGAATGCCACAAAAACATCATTTGCTCAGCACTTGACTAGAATAAAATGTCATTTTTATTTGATAAATAATTTTCTATACGCTATTCAAACACACAATGAAAAAGTACAGAAATGTATTTGTTTTTAAGACACAAAACCAAACTTTTGGACTGACTTTTAGTATGTTGAAAACCGCCTACAGAATATGCCTAATTATCTATTTTTGGTATTTTTCTCGGTGTGCCCTCCCAATAGTTGGTACGAAGAAAAAGTACTTATTCAAAAATTAAAAAATTAAAAATAGGATCTAACTTCGTATTCATATCGACACTTCAAAAATGAGTAGATTTTATTGATATGTTCGTTTTTAAATAAGAAAGCACCGTTCTTTTGTAGCATTAAAAGTATTGAATGCCACAAAAACATCATCTGCTCAGCACTTGACTGGAATAAAATGTCATTTTTATTTGATAAATAATTTTCTATACGCTATTCAAACACAGAATGAAAAAGTACAGAAATGTATTTGTTTTTAAGACACAAAACCAAATTTTTGGACTGACTTTTAGTATGTTGAAAACCGCCTACAGAATATGCCTAATTATCTATTTTTTGCGCACTTTCATGCCGATGAAAACATATCAACTTCGTCGTTCGGTTAGAAAATAGATCAGCCCTTGTAAAGAAGAGCATTTTATCTTTAAATTTTGCGTTTACATAAAGAGAATACTTTTTGTAAGGCCAATTTGTGAGAAAATTGCTACAGAAAAGTAGAATGCCGTGGCCCGTGAACGACTTTTTGATATTTTGTAGTTTTCGAAGGAGAAGTAAGTAAGTTTATCAAACCTAACACACCACGAGATACATCGAAAAATTCTACATCTCTTACTACAAGAAAGGAATTTTTGAACTCAATCTAGCTGGGCAAAATTGACTTTTACACATTTTCAATTTTGTAGTTGAGCAGGTGATATTTTTTGTGGCATACAATATTCCAATAACGATTATTCAATGCTACAAAAGAAGGGTACATGCTTATTTAAAAACGAACATATCAATAAAATCTACACAAAATTCTCTCTCATTTAGCATCAGGACCAAACTTTCTGATCGAGTCTAACTTGAGAAAACAGCCTATCAAAAACTGGTAATTTAACCGGAACCACCCGTTCTTTCCTATGTATGAACTTGTAGAATTAGTTAAAATCATATCTGTTCGTGTACGATCGTATCCAATCTTGTACGAGCCGCTCATACTATTCTTTGACCTGAGTATGACTCTATTCTACTTAAAACGAATGGTTGTGTCGGTGCTCTATTTGTTGATGCAGAAGTCTTGTAACACATCATTTATTTATTTATTTAACCAGTAAACAAATCAATGGCGCGAAAAGGAATTCCAGCAGATATACGTCGAATGTTATGAATACATCAGATTCTAATATTCAAAACGATATTTCTCCTTTCGTCTCTTCTTCAGTATCTATTTCTACTATTCCTTCTACAATTCTTAGAATAAACGATAGTCAACAATTATTTGTGCAAAACGTGTCTCTTCATAATCTTAGTGTCATAATCGATGAAGGCTTTCGTCAATCAAGTTTTACTTTTTTATTTGAGTGAAAAACTGAAACAATTAGTAATTATTTTCCCTTCAAAGCTTAAATTTTTCTTTTCTACTTTACGAACTCTTACAGAACAAAAACAAATATCTCCAATAACTTCAAAAGATTTTTGATGCAGTGTCCACCTATCACGAAAGTCCTGACTACGTCACTAATAAAAATGTGCCTATTAATTAGAAAATTTGATTTCTGACGATTGCGAGGTGGAAAATTAGAAATTTTGATCTAAATAGTAGTCACTTAGCGTTTGTTCTGATTAAAAATTTGAGTTGCAAACTCCACATTTTTTGAAGAAAATTCGTGATTTAGAGTACTGTGGGGGAAAAAGAGACGCCTTTTCAATTTTTTGTCGTACTTTTATTAGTTCTCAGTCATTTTTGGTCGGGAAAACTATAATAAAAACGATAATGAGCTCAAAATCATATGGTAGAGAGAGGAAGGTTTGGGCTACAAAATAAGGTGTTTTTTAACTAGTTATCTCTAAAGCTTACCTCGCAGTCAATTATTAATTAAGATTCCATGTATTTGAATGAAGTGTCTCTTTTTACCCCATGCAGACTAGTTTAGTGTCTCTTTTTACCCCGAGTGGGGGAAAAAGAGACACTTTCATGGGACTCTTCGCATTTTGGATGTGGTTGAAAATCGAACAGAGATTTCTAGGAGATTTTTACATCAACGTGTAGAAAAATGTTCGCTCTACCATCATGTTCAATAGCAAGTTTTCCCGACCAAAAATGACTGAGAACTAATAAAAGTACGACAAAAAATTGACAAGGTGTCTCTTTTTCCCCCACAGTACTCTACCAATACATGCACGTTCTCTACATGAAACGTATGTTGAAGAGATGAGAGGTTCACGGACATAAATCTTACTAAATTTATTCATACCTTATTGAGATTTACTTTTGTACTAAAGATGAATGAAAAAAGTCTCTAGACACTATTCCCTTGTCAGTTAGATCGTTATTAAAAATTTTTTTTTTTTCAAAAATAAAACATTTCACTTGAATAAATATGAACAACTGTACAAAGATGTTCATCATTTATGATGTACCATTGTTATGCGATGTATCTCCATTCGTTCTCGATAACAGTTTCTGTCCTTCCTTCTCAATATAATTGTTGTTGGCGTGTTGAACAAACGTTCCAAATGTATATGGAAATGATTGTTGTTGTTCATAAAAGAGTGAATTAATTTGAGCACCTATATGCAGTGTCAGACCAAAATAGTAAAAGAAAAGTAGTAAAATCACAATAAAACCAATTTGTCCAATATAGCTGGATGTCGATGTTTTAGTATAGAGTGAAAATAAAATTATAAATAATTCTAATAAAAAACCAGCTATAAGAGCACCACACCATGTTTCTTTGAATAACATTTTTTTATTAGGTATCGTTTGATATATAAATTCGAATAGAACAAAGGATAGACAAAAACTGACGATAAATGCTGCTATATATGAAAGAACATGACCAGTTTGACCGGGAATAATACTGAATAATATTGTTGGTGCATATGAGGCAATAACCATAAGAAATATTAGTATAATAAATAAAAGTAACGTTTTTATAGCTAGAATATTTTGTCTTAAAATTGATCGTTCTTTAGTCCGATAAACAATAGTTAGACAATCATCAATGGCCACAAATAATCTTGATCCAATAATAAGAGCAAGTATAATACTTATCACTAAAACAATACTCACATCTTGAGATACCTGATTAAATGCCATATCGACTAAATTTCCTACACCTTCACGTGTTTCATTTGAAAATGAGGTAACAATACGTTTTTTTATAGTTGCTTCCAAATTATTATTAGAGCCTATAATTAAAATTAAAATACCAAATAAGGCTGCGATCATAGGTACCAATGAGATTAATAAATTGTAAGCAATTACTGCTGAATAACCAAATGACCAATCGAATAAGAATTTAATCCACAATATATGACATTTTATTTTCATTTCATCCCATTTTACTTTTATTCTATCCCATATCTTCATTTCACTCCATTTTACTCTCATAGCATCCCATTTCTGCTTGAGACTGGCTCCTAGAGCAACCATATATGATATATTAGACAATAATTTACCACCAAGATAATAGTTTGAGCGATATATAAAAAATTTGTGTGTAACGATAATATATTGAAACACAATCAATATTCATCGTGCTTTCTTTTTTTTTCTCTTGTTCTTCATACTATATTGTGTATCATTAATATCTAATACAAAACGAATAAAAATATACCGTTTATAAGAAGAAAAAGAATGTTTAACTTGTATTTTATATAAACAGAGAAAGATAAAAAAGAAAAATAAGTATTGAAAGTAACCTGTACAAAACACGTTGTATAAAATATCATCGGTTAATTAACTGTATCACTCTAAATTATTATACTGAGAATCGAAGGTGAATCAAGTCCAAATATTACCAAGTCGACGTACATTAACGAAAGACTAGATGAAGTTGTTCCTCTCCGATGGCAAGGAATTATTTTCTTTCGTTTTTATAAAAGTTAGAAACTGTTTATCTAATCTGCGATGCAAAAGTAATTGCCGAAATCTCTAACCATAGTTCTTCGCTCAAGAACATCGTAGAAAGTTCATTCTTTATCAAGTTGAAAGAGCAACGCCTAAACTTTAAAAAACATAGGAAACAAAATTTTTGAAATTGGTTTTGAGAAAGATACCAAATGGCGCTAGAAAAACTTTATTTTTTTTACTAGAGTCTGAAGAAAAACGTTTTCTTGAAAGCCAAATAGATGAAAAGTCTTAGTTTTGATAGAAAGCACTACTTAAACGACAAGTTTTTATTTGATGGCAACAACAACAATAGTTTAACAAACGTCACTATTCTAGCAGTCAAAGTCTATAGCGAATAGTGAGTAAGAATTTTAACGAATAAAACTAATAAATGAAAAAAATTGAAAAATGATTCCACTTTTTAACAAATTTCAATAGAAATAAATGGGAATCCTGTCAGGTTATGCAAGTGATCGTGTGACTTATAGAACGAAGATTAGGAAGGAAGAGTTTGATATGCTATACTTCACAACAACAGATGTCGTTAGTTAAAACAAAAATAATAGTTCAGTCTTTAACAGTGAAGCGATCCGGCACCTGGATGTATTTAGTCATGGCTTCAACGACAATATTCAATTCTTTAGTGGTAAGAGGAACTTCAAGCAAGACCGTTTTCAAATCAAAAGGAAGATGGACTAACTCCGACTGAAAGATCGATCTTAAAGCTGATAGAGCAACATCAAATAACGAACAGTCAAAGAAATAGTGAACAATACTCTCTTCTGTTGAATCATCACACATACAGAACGGATTAGGTTCTAAACTTCGTCGAAATAAGTCTTTTCGAAGCTGCGAAAAAACCTACTCTAAATCTGCAATAAGTAATATCAACATTAACGGTATTTTAATCAGATGTTGTTTAGCCGATAAACACGTTTTAAACTTCCCTATACGAAAAGTCATTCGAGTTTCAATTGGGAGTGCATTCTAATCTCTGGTGATTCGATATATCATTGACTCGTATAACATATTTAAACGGCACCGTGGTGTACGTAAAAGTATTCTTTCTCGATTTCGGAGAGAGTAAGCTTTTTTCGCCATGGCAACCTCCTCTTTGAAAATCCCTGGGTGTGTGTCTGCCCGACAGTTCAGATTTTTCACAAGTTTTGCATCAGACTCTGTTTAAACAAATCGTGATCAAGATTTGCGACAGATTCTGACTGATTAATTATGTACTAATTACTCCTTAATTAGTCAGAACTTTAAGTAATTTGGGAATTTTGAAGAAAATGTTAAATATGGCATTTTTTATCATGTTTTCGTATTTTTGTTTTTGTATTACTACAATTCAAGCTCTACAGTACCGTACAGACGGTGTCGGAGCTCTTAAAAGTGAATGAAAAGTCATGTATTCAAACGCATTGTTTTAGTTGAACTCTAAAATTTTTCATTGTTCCGGAGTGTAAATATTAATTGTTATACAGTGTGGTCCAAAAGTCACTCGGCAGTCTTTGACTGCGACACTTCCGAGTGATCTAAAAACCCGGTTTTAGGCTCAATCGATAGAGACTTAAGGGCGCCCTCCTTAGAATGAAATCTTTTTTGTATCAACCAATCAATTTGGAGACAAGCACATGAGAAGATAGCCTGGATTATCTACCTCCAGATCTGTATCGCGTTCGGGTCTAGAATTGGTTTTTCGTGGTTTACTTCAATATACTTCAAGCCAGAGATCTCTAGTTGATTTTAATTTAAACACACCTAACTGCGTGAACTGATGGGAACCGATTTTTGAATTAGGCCTTAGCTGACTAGAAAATCAAGGATCTTCGGGAAATTTGAAAGGGTTTTTAAAAATATTAGATCTCTAGAAAACGAACAAAGATGTAAATCAAAAATCTGGTCCCATCAGTCCGCGCAATTAGGTGTCTAATTTAAAATAAAATCAACCCGAGATCTCTAGCTTATAGTATACTTAAAAAAAGTGTCCCACAGTGGAGGGTGGTTTGTTTACCTTGGACTCTGCAAAACCTCGGAATGGTAAGAGATAGCGAAGAAAAAAAAATTTCATAACCACACTTTGATATGGGAAATATTTGCCGGAAGCGTCATCAGAATCGGATGTATGACGAAAAAGGATTTTTTCTGAAGAGACACCCTTAAATTCTCTACAAATTTGGTATTTAAATCTCTGATAGCATTTTTCTCGTTTGAACACCATTCAATATTTTGTGAATGGTGATGAGTTGTCCGACTACGACGTGCTTTTGCTGTTTTCTTTTTCTGAGATTTTTCACCGACTGACTGAGGTTCAATATTCAATTTTTCTATGTAGATGGACAGAGAATTTTATGCTCTATCGATCTCACTCATTTACAACTCCATGCAATGTTTCTGCTACAAAAAACTGGACTCATAATTAGTTCTCAACTGGCTTTTCAATTTTTCCAAATTAAATTAACTTTTTTACTGAATGGTTACAATTGAGAAATTTTGTTCATATATCAAAAGATCCAATTTCGAAACTATGTGAGAAGATGCATAATTTTTCGCTGAGTCTTGTGATATTTTCAAGATTCTTATGAAATGTATTTTTGGATCAAGGCAAATATTTTTCTATTTCCAGTGCAGTTCGACACTGCAGCATCATTCAAAATATTGAACGGTGTTCAAACGAGAAAAATGCTATCAGAGGCTTAAATAACAGATTTGTAGAGAATTTAAGTCTCTATTGAATGCGACTAAAACCAGATTTTTAGGTCACTCGGAAGTATTCTAAAAATCATAACCAAAGACTGCCGGTGACTTTTGGACCATCCTGTATATTTATGAAGAATTCAAAAAATAACATATTCGTTTGTCTATTATATGGACCAACAGAATTTTCTCTGCACTGTAATACTATAATAACTATGAATAAGCATAAAGTTGTCATATTTACATTTTTTTGTCGAATCTTTGATTCATTTCGTGGTCAGAATAATTTTCTTTGTTAGCAAAGATTCTGCTTTTTACAAAACTATTTTCTAATTTTTTCAAGATAAATTCGACTCAGGTTTTGAAACAAATCTTGATCAAGACTTTCGTAGACAGATTTTTTTAAAAAAAGTCATCAAGCTTTTGTCAAGAATTGTTTAGAATTCTCTAACACGTTCGCCACGATCGGACGCACCGGTGGGTCCCAGCATATTTTATGTGGTCTTGCCTCTGGAGCCGATTTTCACGATCAAAATTTTCCAAAAAAATGAAAGTCGTTTTTTCAGAAAAAAAAATGAGCCATTTTAATTAGAATACAACGCTGATCTGAACCATATAGTTTGATCTACAAAACTCCGGGGCCGAAAAACTGGTTTATTCTTCCACATCCTTTTGAGCGTATATAACACATTCGCCGCGATGGGACGCACCGGTGGGTCCCGGCATATTTGATGTGTTCCATCGGTAGGTCACCTGATATGCATACCTGCAAGTTTCTATTTAATAATTAAATTATTTTGGCTTCGGTACCTGGCAACGTCTTCTTTTTTCACATGTCAGAAACACTGCCTGAAAATCCGATTCGTACAAACCCCTATCTATCAAAAGATGCAGTAAAACTTCTTCTACAAAATGGTGAAACTGCAGGTCTCTATTTCTCTTCATTCTGAAGTTATTCAAACAATAGCCATGGACACTATATTTTGAAATGGATAGTAGGTTATCATCATCCGATACTTTGGAGATCTATTTTCTAGTGTAGTGGAAATATTTTCTAATGTAGAATAATACAGTTTTATTCGAGACAGAATAACAATTTTGGTTTACAGTCAACTGTAGCGTCATATCAAGGGTGTGGACATTTACTTTGAAGAAGCATTAGCGCAGTTGATTAATGTCTCAGTATCTGAATCTGATACAACAGTAGTGTAGTTGTGTATAACTGTATACTTAAAGTTTAACACTGTATTTGTTTTTTTCCCTTGAAAATGGCTCCATGATGAGACTGTTTATGTAATAATAAATAAATAGTTATTCTTTCAAATAATCAACAAAGGCAACACTGCGTGTATAAAAGTCAGGGAGTATTTTCCTATTATTCTTGAAAGGAAATGTGACAAAAATAACATCTTTTTTCTGTCAACTGATAGTTGTCTTTGCCTTATTAACGTTACTATTCTTGTTTCTTTTTTCAGTTAACATTTATCATACATGTTCTACACGCTTATGTGTTATTCTTCAATGATATCATTATTTTCTGAGTGGCATTAAGACTATTCAGCGATGATTCATTCTGATCCTATCGTTTTATTTTTCAATCTGATCGATCAGATAAGAAACAAGTTCAGTATTTGAATGGCCTTGGCGCCAGCAAACGAATAAAATAGTATTGAAGATAAGCAACCATACTTGTATAGAATAACTATTTATTCATTATTACATAACGGTCTCATCATGGAGCCATTTTCAAGAGAAAAAAACAAATACAGTTAAACTTTAAGTATACAGTTATACACAACTACACTACTGTTGTATCAGGTTCAGATACTGAGACATTAGTCAAC